CTGCTCCACAAAAAACAGAAAGGAAAGGGAACAGGGAAAGGGGGGGGGGGGGGGGGGGGGGGGGGGGGGGGGGGGGGGGGGGGGGGGGGGGGGGTTTTTTGGGGGGGGGGGGGGGTGTGGTTTTTGTTTTGTGTTTGGGTTTTTTGTTTTGTTTTTTTTTTTTTTTTTTTGGTTTTTTTTGTTTTTTTTTGTTTTTTTTTTTTTTTTTTTTTTGTTTTTTTTTTTTTTTTGTTTTTGTTTTTTTTGTTTTTGTTCTTTTTTTTTGTTTGTTTATTTTTCTTTTGTTTATTTTTGTTTTTTTTTTGTTTATTTTTTGTGTTTTTGGTGTGTGTTTTGTTGTGTTTGGGTGTATATTGGTTTGTGGTTGTTTGGTTGTTGGTGGGGGGGGGTTGTGTTGGGGTTGGGGGGGGTTTATTCCACATGATGGTAGAAGACAGAGGAATGAGGCAACAAAAACTGCATCCCACCACCACAGTCTTCAGTCTTGATATTAGTATCATACCAGTCAGTCAGTGATATTAGTATCAGAACCAGTCAGTCAGTGATATTAGAATCAGAACCAGTCAGTCAGTGATATAGAATCAGAACCAGTCAGTCAGTGATATCAGTATCAGAACCATCAGTCAGTGATATTAGTATCAGAACCAGTCAGTCAGTGATATTAGTATCAGAACCAGTCAGTCAGTGATATTAGAATCAGAACCAGTCAGTCAGTGATATTAGTATCAGAACCAGTCAGTCAGTGATATTAGAATCAGAACCAGTCAGTCAGTGATATTAGAATCAGAACCAGTCAGGTCAGTGATATCAGTATCAGAACCATCATCATGATATTAGTATCAGAACCAGTCAGTCAGTGTCTTAGTACAGAACCAGTCCAGGCCAGTGGATTAGAATCAGAACCAGTCAGTCAGTGATATTAGTATCAGAACCAGTCAGTCAGTGATATTAGAATCAGAACCAGTCAGTCAGTGATATTAGAATCAGAACCAGTCAGTCAGTGATATTAGTATCAGAACCAGTCAGTCAGTGATATTAGTATCAGAACCAGTCAGTCAGTGATATTAGTATCATGAACCAGTCAGTCAGTGATATTAGAATCAGACCAGTCAGTCCAGTGAGTATTAGAATCAGAACCAGTCAGTCAGTGATATTAGTATCAGAACCAGTCAAGTCAGTGGTAATTAGAATCAGAACCATCAGTCAGTGATATTAGAATCAGAACCAGTCAGTCGTGATATTAGAATCAACCAGTCAGTCAGTTATATTAGAATCAAACCAGTCAGTCATTGATATTAGAATCAGAACCAGTCAGTCAGTGATATTTAGAATCAGAACCAGTCAGTCAGTGATATTAGAATCAGAACCAGTCAGTCAGTGATATTAGAATCAGAACCAGTCAGTCAGTGATATTAGTATCAGAACCAGTCAGTCAGTGATATTAGAATCAGAACCAGTCAGTCAGTGATATTAGAATCAGAACCAGTCAGTCAGTGATATTAGAATCAGAACCAGTCAGTCATTGATATTAGAATCAGAACCAGTCAGTCAGTGATATTAGAATCAGAACCAGTCAGTCAGTGATATTAGAATCAGAACCAGTCAGTCAGTGATATTAGTATCAAAACCAGTCAGTCAGTGGTATTTGTATCAAAAGCAGGGCAGGTCAGTCTGATTAAAGAAGTGGTACGAGACAAGATTAACAAGATACCGAGACAAGACAGGGGATTGAGGATTGTGTGTGTGTGTGTATATATGTGTGTGTGTGTGTGTATATATGTGTGTGTGTGTGTGTGTGTGTATATATGTGTGTGTGTGTGTATATATGTGTGTGTGTGTGTGTGGTGTATATTGTGTGTGTGTGTGTTTATTTTTTGTGTGTATATGTGTTCTCTGTGTGTTTGGTGTGTATATATGGTTTGTGTGTGTGTGTGTTGTGTGTATCTATCTTTGTGTGTGTTTGATGTGTGTGGTGTGTGTTGTGTGTGTGTTGTGTGTGTGTTGTGTTTGTGTGTTTTGTTTTGTTGTTGTGTTTGTGTGTTTGCTGTGTGTGTGTTCTTGTGTTTTGTGTGTGTGTTAGTTGTGATGTGTGTTTGTGTGTGTGTGTCCATCATCTGTGTGTGTTGGTTTGTTGTGGTGTTGTGTTGTTTGTGTTCTTCTTTGTTGTGTGTGTGTGTTCATCTGTGTGTGTTGTTGTGTGTGTCCTTTGTTGTTTGTGTGTTGTGTGTTTTTTGTTGTGTGTTCTCTTGTTTGTGTGTGTGTGTTGTGTTTTGTTGTGTTTTGTTGTGTGTTTTGTGTTTGTGTGTGTTTGTGTTTTTGTGTGTGTTTTCTCTCTGTGTGTGTTAGGGAGTGCCGTCTTGTTTGTTAATTGTATAAATGTTTTCTCCCAGTGTTTGTGTGTGTGTGTGTGTGTTGTGTGTGTTGTTGTTTGTTTTGTTGTGTTGTTGTTGTGGCTGATTTCTTCTTTGTTTTTTTGTGAGCCATGGGGTAGGTGGGTTTA